TCTGCGCAGCCAGAACCTTCCAAAAGTGTATCCTGAAGAGATTGGAAGGGCAGTGTGACATCACAGGATATAAAAAGTTTAAGTAGATAAATGTACTCGCCACGTTATTTGAAAAAAGGTGGCCTTTAATATAGAGTAAACTTATGTTTCCACTGGATTTAAAATTGAGGCGACTGACTTAACCACGTGATTGACGATTCCAAACAGCTGAGAAATGCATCATGAAAGTTTGCAACGTAATTTAAGCACCGAAAAAGGTTTTATTAGCGTTTAAACTTCCCCAAAGATGTTCCCATCATGTTTTATTGCGCCACTGGTACATTGACCTGCTTTGTCTGCCTGTCAAAATGGCGTCACGGCGATAACTAGCAAAGATTACTGGCTGAAACAGGAGTTCAGTATTTCGGCGTTTGGCAGGCTAACGTATTTGGGGATTTTTGTTTCCTTGGTTCAATAGCAGTAATCCAAAATGAGAACTTGCCAAAGTGCTTACGTCAAAACGGAAAACATGACGCAGAGGTCTTGTTGGTTCGATCCATGACATAACCTTTGGAGGATTAAAATCATCAAGGAAGAGCTAATTGAATGAGATAAACCCATCATTTTGGCAAGTATTTTCCCTGTTCGTTCAAATAACCCCGAAAGGAGGTCGATAAAGTGAACGAAAAATTAATACTCGTTAAAGTCACTGACGTGTATGGTCATTTTACAAGGGAAACTACCTATTTTTAGATGTTGGCACTGCTCATTTTTCAGTGCGTGGTGTGTTTTCTGAGGACACAATACATTTTAAACAGAAAATGGTCGAAATGTCTACCTAGAATAATGTATAAAGTAATGAATCTTGTTAATTACCAGAGAACCACGAAGAGACTTAGTCAGAGTCATTAAGAGGTCATTTGGAATTTTAAAAAAAAATTTTTCGTAAACTTGCAATCGATTGGTGGCACTTTTTGATTCCTAATTTGGCTAAAACGATATTCTAGCGAGAGAAATACCCCAAAGATTGACGGAATCTATGCCAAAATGAAGCAGGAATAGTAGTTTTGAGTGTTCTGCGTCTTATACTATTTCTTTCTATAAATCAGTAGTCTCATGGCATTATTTCAGTATGCTGTCGGTACAAATCAAGTCATTCGCGTAGAGGTGGGAGTCCAATGAACTTTAGAAAGGCCAAAGTTTACTTTATCGAAGCAGTGGCTATTAATCATTGTCACTACTCGCTAAAGGCATGCTGTTAATGTTGATGAAGACTAAACTGAGATCGATAAGTTCTTGGTCCATGAACCTGGGTCCACGTCCGGACCTAATTTTCCTAAATGTAGCCATCTACACCAGGTAATGACGGTGCTTTAAGGCACATTTTCTGGGGCTGCGATAACTTGATGCCCTGCACAAATTATCACAGCTACTGAAGAAACCGTGGCAACAAAGAAACAGTCACGAATGCCAATCGGGACTAGGGGATCCCCACGGGAAAGTTAAAAACCTCTTCTCCGGGTTACTGAATGGAGGTGAGCTGTACAGGTGCCATCGTGAGACCACAACGTGAAAAGTAAGTTTAGTGGACGTGTGAGGTGTTTGGGTGAAACACAAAAACTTCGATAGGAGGGTTTCAAATATTGTTGCTAGTGCGTTGGGGTTGCCCACTCAAGGTGTATAAGCTGCTCTCACCCGTTCCTACGTAACCGACGCACACCCGTGTATACTTGTACACAGCAACTCTTATCAACATTGGTGGTTTTTGGCCATTGCGATCCACGTGAGCATTCACTACACCGTGAAAAACCGTCCCAATGATTGTGACACCACCAGAGCCGTCGGAGTTGACTGGGTTGATCAGAAGAGAAGGACGAAGATGTTACAAATGCTATTGAGAGGTCTCGTCTTTCTTCGAGGTGTGGGGGCCGGTCACGTATTCAATTAATAGCTGAATTGGTCACCAGTTCTACGATGGTGGTTTTTGGACAATATTTGGCTGTAGTGACCACTTGCAAAAAAATAAGATTATATGAAAGGCAGAGACGAATAGCAAACACGTCACCCCTAGCATCAACGCGGCAAGTGTCTGCTACAAGGACCATGTGCTAGCGAAGACCAGATGCCGCCTGGCCAGTAAATTTTCATATCCTAGATGTGTCGAAAAAAAACCCACGTTCACACTGGTTTTTCGGCCAAGAATGGATGTGAAGTGGACTGTAGCGCACGCACGTGAGTTAAACTAATTTACAGGCAGCTTTGTGTCGATGACTCATTCTCATGTTTCATTGGTTGGGGGGGGTACCATATTGTTGATGAGCCCGTCCACACGCCAACGAACGGTGGTGTCTGCTGTTGCCTGTCGTGTTGCTTGTTTCGTGTTCCAGGTTAACACGTATAGTTGTAAGCTAACACAACATTTGGTGACCCCGGTTGGTGATTTTGTTCAGAATATCTCGTTACCCTCTCTTTTCTGGTAACAATGAGTAACCTTATGGCTGTAAAGTCCTGTTCGAAACACAGCAACAAGCAGATTAAGGCCCAATTTTGCATTCAGATTATTATCTAACGGTCCTCCACGTATTCAAATGTTATTGAATTGCTCGAGTCTCCCTTTCGGCTCTTTCGGCAAATGCGTCGCATGGTGGCGTTAAGAAAGGTCGATGACTCAGTTCGACGCAATTTTAGGCCTACATGCCTCCCCGCAAACCTCGTTCTAAAGCTCACAGAACTGACCAACAGGAGTCTTTTTACAGGAGTGGGAAATCAAGCCATCCCCTCTGGCGTAGCGACAAGCACAAACAACTTAGGCAAGAACAAACAGCCAGCCTCTCAGTTCGAACAAGGACAAATGTTGCAGCGCATTCTTAACGTTTGTATTAGGCACTGTGGGGCGATAAATCTAACTTAGCCGTAGGCTTGAATTGCGAAAACGAACCTCACTTTATGCCACACGCTACCAGTTAAACTGCTTGAAGGCGAACTGAGAATGCAAATGCCGTCGTTTTTGCTGCACTGGTTGGTATCAGCAACTGAAAGGATTCCGTGGTACGAGTCAACAATTTGCTGATTTTCTCACATTGAAATCCAGGCGACACATCACGTAGAATAGCAAAAAAGAATGATACTGCTGTTACTGTAAGGAGATCTACATTTGGAATAAGCTAAGTGGTCAGTGTTAAATAAGTAATGTAAGGTTTAGAGTAATGACGAGTGCGTATCAGACAAACCTATACATTAGCCAAGTGGAATTGCATGATCAAAGGCAGAATGATACGCAGGACTAGCGTGACAGGGCGCAGAGCGTGTTGGAGTTATGGGCATTTTTGTGATGCACTAAGACGTGAGGGTTAGAGAGGCGAACCTTGACCTGTCGCAATTTTACTGAAAACCGTGAGTAACCAGTCGCAGGTGAAATATGCTGAAAGCATGTTTCAAATCAAACCACTTGGTCCACATAAGCACTTAATGTTGTCTCGCCTGCAAAGGAATTGCGGATTTTGAAGCGCAGGCTGTCTATCGACGGTTTCCATTAAGAATATTTTAGAGGGAGTAATGCAGCCTCCTAACGCCCGCACACGATACCTTTGGCATAATTTTTAACGAAACCTCTTCCAATTCCAACATTAATTTTGCGTAAATAGCCCAACCAATCTCTGGCTAGGATTTAAATAAATGTACTTCGATGCAATCGTCCGTTTTGGTATTCATTCCTATGTCAACTGCCACATACAAACACACATATGAGATCTGGTTGTGATTGGGTTATTTTTTGTGTGTGCAAAATTGAACACAGACACCTCCGGTCACGGAACGCGCCTAGTGTTGGGGATCCAGGATTCCCCAAGATTGCTCATCGTCGATTTTTGTGATTATTTACATTAATATCCTGACACCTGTTTTATTACACATTTTATCGGGTCAAGATAAACTGTAACTCCAATTAGTTTCACTTTTGACAACTCACTTGCACGTGCTAATGTGATTAAAGCTCTGGTCTTGTTCTTGTATTGGCGTGAGAAGGCCGGTGCTAGCGCCAACAAGGGATCCGGTACCGTTATCTCAGTCGTTTTCTCTTGGTTACGGGCAAACGTAACATCCAGCAAAATAGAAATAAGCCCCTAGGGCAGCGCGCGAAAGAGCTCTCACACTTACTTTAATCCACCACTGTATCTCCTTGAGTGGACGACAGTAGGCCGACATCACGCTAGCGAGCGGAGGCTAGAGGCAAAGAGCGCTAGTTTGCGACTTGCAAAACGTGGGACCAGTGAACCTAACTTTGGCACTAAAAGCCTACTCTACCCAACGTGCATGTCATTACGGATGTCTGACTTCGAATCTAAGGACATTGGTACCTACGGTTGAATTATTTCCTGGGAATAAGTCTTAATCACGTGGGCTTACATAAATCTCCCTTAAACAAAAACCTTGGTACGTGCGTCATGCAGAAATCGGTAGAGAGCTGCACAGAACGAGCGCCTGTCGATTTCGAAACTAAGGACATTTGTACCCACAGTTGAATTAAATTACTTCCTGGGAATAAGTCCCAGTCACGTGGGCTTACGTAAATCTCCCTTAAACAAGGGTCTTGGTATGTGCGTCATGCAGAAATTAGTGGGGGGGGGGTGCACAGTACGGGCACCTGTCGATTTCCAGTCCGAGGACATTGGTACCCGCAGTCAAATTGCGGCTTCAATTTACAAAAACTCAAGTAGCAAATTGCAAATTTTATAACCATAATTCTGAGGGTATTTAGTGAGTAGAAGTTGGTAAGAGGCTCCACAAAGCTAGTAGGTTATAGTCCCTGTCGGGAAAGTGTTTTGGTTGATTGAAGAGATTTGCAACTATGGCAAAGGTGTCTTCATTTACACAAGAAGACTTTATAAAGCACGAGTGCTTACAACAGCTCAGGGAGAATGGTAATGTAAATGGCGTGAATCACAGAATGCAAAGTGACCGTGCTAAGACGCCACGAGGAAAGAAAAAAGCACAGACAGGCAAAAGCAGAAGTGGAATGTCGTCTAGTGGAGGTTTTGCGAGAACGAACAGGTGACTTTTCGTTTACCCAATGGCAGGGGTGGACGGAAATTCTCGTTGGTGTTGCAGTCGTTGCAGCAGTGCATTGTGCGCATAGCAGCCAGCTGAAATTAAAAATGGCAGCGTTGGATTCAAACAAAATACGTCCTTGCGTGAACACAGTTGGTGGAAAGTGACTGCTTAAGATCAATCTAGCCCACATCACTTGGTACTTGGCTGAACATTCAATTAGTTTAAGTAGACACCTTATTTTAGGTATCACCTATTAATTGATTAATTAAATTTAAACCTTTCTTGGTTCAGAATATTCTGAAGCCACAAGATAGCCTTCTTTCCTATTGGCACCACTGGAAGTCGTAGGTCATGAACTAAACTTTTAAGGAAGGTTTAGTCTTCTTAGCAGTGTACACACGTCTTTTCTGATACAAATTATCTGACCCCTAAACATGCTGTTTGACTTGGAATTAACTGGGATGTGTACAGTGAATGTTTAATACAATTCGACCGTATGAGTCTAAGCCAAAAAGTCAGATTCTGTCTCTGCCAATACAAGAGAAGCAAATTCTGCAGTCTTCTATAGCACAGAATGTATTTGCCTTGACCAACACCTCAAACATTGGTTGTATTATGCAGATGAAAGCAAGGTTTATTAATCTTACTGTTTTACCTCCACGTAGTCGTCATTCAAGTTTGGAAAATTTCGTAGTCTAATGCACCAGCAAAAGCAAAGTCAAGAATGCAATTTAAGTGCATTTCTCTTCTGTCCTTGACAGCGCAAGCAAACGAAACCATTTCACGTAGTTTGTGACTATGCATGAACGTTGATGACGTCCCCAAAAAATACAGTGCACAAAATTGTGTTAGTTTTATATAGTGGGGTTGCTGTTTTTGATGGCATTTCTGGCTCACAATGCCCAAAGCTGGCTGGTTTGTGAATAGTCCCCTTGGCGTTGATTCAGTCACGTACAAGGGTGAGAAAAAACTTGCGCCAATTAAAGTGCTTGATTACTTTCCACAACAGGAGACTGTCTCCAAAACCGAATGAAGAAGGCCACGAAACACGATCCAAGAGGTAGGATGGCTAGTCATACCTGCCTTGGCCGCAAAATCTCGAATGGATGGAGCTATAAGGTGACAGCGTCAATTTCGCGGAAGCCAACTCCGACTACAGTGTGACCAGTACTGTGAACAAGATTGTCGGAATTAGACGTGTACTTTTTGTTCGTTTAAATCAACACTGTCTCGTAGACATCCCACTGCCGATGCGAGGTCAGCACTCTATTTACTATGCGAGACGGTTTGCGTAAACGACTCGTACTACGCAACTGGAAAGTGATTTGTCTCACACTAACAGTAAATCATCACTACGAAGCACTGCGGCTACCAAGTTCTCCAAAAAGGCGGCACTACTCCTTCCACCAAATAACGTTTACGCGTGAACTTCTGAAAGAGCAACTTGACTCTTAAATGGGATTGTTTTTGAGAAAAACACTGCCTGCAACCTGTTGCCTTCGACCTACCAGAGGGACAATCATGTGTCTCTCACAGACATCAGCCTATCTCGTCTGCAACTGTGACAACCACCCCCCCCCCACGACAGCCCAGGTCAGATGTGACAGCCACTGAGCGGAAGTCTAAGGGAAAGGTCACAATCAGATCAAATTACCGGTCTGTTAAACACTAACAGAGTTTTGAGGACCAACCCGTCTGGATGAATGTTTTCCAAAGCAAAACATGCTCTCAGATTTGCTAGTTGTTTACAAAATATGAAAGGACACTAGCTATCCCCCACTTTGCCAAGTTGTTTATCTAAATCCCCCTTTCAAGGGTCATTCAAGAAAGCACTACGCAATGGTGTTGGGAAACTCAGTTATTTTTCACAGCACAGTTGCATCCCTGCGTACGTGACATGCCACCAGCAATTGGCCAATCAGGTTGGCCAGTCGGACACACGACTTCTGATCAAGCAAACGTCGATTTCCCGGTGAATACCAGTCTAGTTGTTAGCCCATCGACGCGTGGAACAGTGCAGTTATTTGTCGGTCCTTGCACAAACACACGCACGCAAGCGCACACGTAATCGGTCCACACATGATTTTCATAAAAAAAAGAAGCATATTATTGATGCAAAGACCAACTCGATCATCTGGACCAGAACCAGAAGGTAAACAGTAAAAAGCGGTGCTCATTCTAATCATCCGCATACTTTTCTAGGCCCCACCACTGTGCTGTCACATCCGCGTTTGCCTCGTGTGTCAAAACAGTCGCAGTGGAAGAATTTAGTTCCTTTTGATCGAACCTGACACCTGAGTTGATTAGGACAAACGTCTTGTGTAGTTTTAATCAGTTTCTGGGTAGATGGTTCTTCCGGTGAGTTTAGCGGATCTTGAAGTAATTTCTGACAGTCCAATTTTCCCAAATCTTTCGAGTGTTCAGTGCATTGCTAGAGCAAGCATTCAACTTTCAGACTTGAGAGGAAATAGACAATGCTTCTTGCGTAGCCCTATCGCCTCAAAAGTATAATTAAATTACTAAACAATATTGGCGGGGATTAGTTTTAAAATTTACATCAGGGTTATTAAAAACCGATCGGCTATGAATGCAGGTTAATTAAGATTGACACAAATGAAGAAATGGCAGTCGCCTTATGAAACGGGTGCGTTCTTGGAGATTTTCCGAGAAATACAGACAATAGATTAAAGGAAATCCGATTGTCTGAGGTCACGGGAAACCAAATCATGAAAGTATTTTGCCTTTACGTCGAAAGTCGGGAATTAAATCGTTACGCCAAGGTATACGTGTAGGTGATTTTGATCTACAGATAGTACTTAAATAATCTGAAATCGATGACGCAATTTCCAGTATTCCTTACAAACAAAAGGCGCAAAGGTTCATACCTGTTCCGTAGAAATTCTCAGTGGTTCGGCGCAGATGATCCAACGAACGCATTCAGCGCAGGGCGGCGTTGTGAGAGAACCCTCATATGTGAAGTAGCGACTGAGACCTGTATAAAGGGAGGTTTCCGGTTTAAATTTTTATTGCTACTTAATTACACCTGTGATGTGTTTGGCGTGCACAATGGCAACGTCCGTTGCAGTGACACGGCACAGTTCTCTCGCTGTGTGTTACATTAACAGAGAGGGGCTGGATTGGGTCACTTGTTCAGTTTTTAGCGAGAAGGAGTCAAATTGTCCCTAATTTTGGCCGCGTTCTCACGAACAACGGTTTTAAGATAGAGTTGTCATGACATTGGGCTACGTTCGGGGTCAGAACGTATCAAAGCTAGGTGGATGAGGCACATCGTCACTGCACCGCCTCTCTACAAGCAACTACAAAATGCAGGAGTCGTGTGGCGCGTGAACAGGTCGAGAAATTGACACGTGATTTGGATATGAGAGACAATTACCCTACAAAAAACCCCATTTGTGGATCCACGCATGTGATTCTGGGCCTACCTGAGCTTTTATGGTAGATGCAACCAAAAGTACTCAAGATCTACCCTGATGGCCTTGAGCCGTATTCAGGACAAAGTGCCTACCGAAAAAGTTGCAACGTGGAAAAGAGGCAATAACATTTCATCATTGGAATATCGCAAAATTGGCGTCTACCAAGGGAATCTAGGCACGTCACTTCTTACCTAACTTTAAACTCGAAGAGTGACTAATTACGAGCAAATGCTACGGGCTGCACAAAGTTACCCAGGATTTTGTTAGCTCCGGGAAATGTTTACGTGATTTGCAAACCCCCGTTTTGCTGCAATGTATGTCTATCCTCTTAAAGTCTACGAATGCTGCAGACTCTAGATGTTTCAAGATTTTCAAGGACAAGGCAATGTAATTTATGAGAAGCAAACCAGAGCATCGTGGGGTCTTTTGAAGACTCAGCAAAGGAAACCTCTAGCTGGTGGTAACAAAATAATCAACTTTTAAACCGTGATATATAAATGGGTCATCGTTTTTTTGGTGGAGCAGAAATGTTTCTGCTTGCATCGTTAGTTGATGATACTAAGGCCAATGAAGTACCGGGCGGACACGCTGCGGTTTTCGGTGGTAGAAGTCCCGAACCTACAATCTCGGGGCCGCCTGGTCACGGAGTGCTGTTTCGGGAGAAGTTTGAGGAGACCACAAGCTAAGACTCTAAAACCGTTTACTAGACGGCCCAACTTAGCCGTGCTGCTGTGTTCACTGAGTCGCTGACTCTTCTAAGCCACGGGCAATGCGCGAACACGCAAACAACCTAGACATTGACGAAGGGAGACTGAACAGACATACTGACAGTTAGAGAGGGGTGAATTACCACGGTGTCTGGACGGGTTTCATTCACGTGGGACAAGCGTCCATCTTGACGTCCCCCACCCACATCCCAATAACCTAATGACCTTCATTTTTTCTCACAGGCGGTGGGACCGTAAATTCCCACTAACACAACCACCGAGAACTGTCTTGGTGGTCCACCAAACAGCTGGGCTCCCCTCATGTTAATTCTTCCTCGCTGGCAGGTGCCTGTTCATTTATGCAGTTTTCGCGAGCATAAGTCTACGCTTTCAAAGGCCTTAATCCTAATATTTGACGTGGATAGCACGAGTAAGTCATTCAATACGACAGGCCGCATTCGGTTAATCGGTCACCACACCTTCAAGCTACGGATATATACCACGAAGCCATTTTCAAGACGACAAGCGTCGCATTTTCACAATTATCAAAGATCGCCCATAACCATGCCGGTTCTTAAGGTTGTCGATCGCCTGAAACTTGCTTAGCAAGGTGGACGCAGAAACAGCTGAAGCACCTAAACATCAAGAAACAATTTTATGCCACAGAAGTGAGTCATGGCGTCAATTAGATTCCCATTCATGTAGTTAGGCACAAGAGATGAAAAATGGTCTCAAGGAAGGTCAATTATCTTCCCATTCTGAAAAAGAATGTCCACTAGCTGCTAAGTAAGTCGTGTCACTGTTTGCTAAATCACACTAATTTGAATGAATGCCGGATAAATCACTTGGAGACATGTACAGAGACGTGGCGCTCTCCGATAAGCCAAATTTTGCAACGCCGATAGTCCCAAGAAAGAAGGTATGTGCACGTCAAGGCCCTACAAGCCTTCACGCCTGACCACTAGAGAACATCTCACACACCCCACTGTTTCACAGTAGTAGTAGGTTCATCTGGTTTGCGCACAACTAGTAAACATTCACACAGAATAACCACTGGGCCCAAAATAAACGGAAGTATAATGGGTGGGTGACGCGGGACAATAACTACCATCGTCTTATCATACGCTATTAACTTCCGTTTGATTACTCTAAGCCACAAAATCTCACAGTGCTCTTCGGAGAATTCAACTTAGAAAAAAAAACATTCTGATGCCACAAAAACGCACAAAACGCACCTCTGGTTATCTATGGAACTGGTGAAACTCACAGATATTCAAACTTAGCTGCGTGGGTAGAAATCTAAACGGTGCTGGATGGATTAAAACCGGCAACAGTGCTAACCCTAATTGGGCGGCATCCTTTGCGTGTTTATCAGAATACTCTCACTTCACGTGTCTTACCTACAGCAAAAGGATGCTGATTTTGGGTCGAAAACATGCAAGTCGATCATCTACACAACGAAGAGGATGTGTGTCTTCGCAAGGCAGTCGCGGTGCCCTGAATAGTCACCGTGGCCTACGTGGTCGAGTAAAATCAACCTGTTTATAACCTGGATATCACTTACACCAAGCGTAAGATGGAAAAATTTAGTTAACAGTGTTTGCTGCCACAGTCTAAAAAGAACCACGAGTTTTAGGGCTGGGAGTATAAGTCAGGGGCATTTTGTTGTCGCTATAAAGAGTTTATTCAGTGGTCCACTGTTCTCGAAGAATGCTCATGATATTAATGCCACTTTATTGGGTGTTCTGTGCACAAGGAAACATTCGGAGAGACGTCTTTTACTCCAATTTGTTAGAAAAAAACACTGACTTAAGGAAATTGGTGACTGATTAATTGAGTCTACAGCTGACAATCTGAACACGGTTTTGATTATCTTACTGAATGTAACTTGATAAATTTTCAAATCTTACAGTGTTTTCGACAATTAAAATTTCGCGATAAATCTTCCTGCAAAATCCATCAAAATGCAAGTCTCTGGCATTATTTGATAAGTGTTAATCAACATAGCTGTTAATTTGGAGTCTAAATTTTTATCCCTATCCTCTCCCTCTCTCGCTCTTTGAATCTTTTAATTCTGTCGTAAACCAGAAAATAGGATTTGACATTCGATGTGATCGAAAGCATACAGTTAACTAAACCGGTTGCACTAAAAGAGAAATAGCCCTACAAGTGTTAATATACGTATACTGGTAATCGACACAACGACTTTAAAGGTCAGTCATGTTGCTCTAGTAGAAGAACCTAATCAAATAGGCCAGTTTAGGTTGGTAAACTTTAGAACGAAAGATACTACCTGTGTGAAATAGTATGGCAATTTAGACATGAGATCAAGCTTTCAATTTCAGCAAATTATAATTTTGTTTTTAACAAACGTACTTGGAATGAGATGTTTTACGTCGATGTATTCATTAATGGGTTGTTCGCTGTTGGGTTTTGATGATTTGATGACATCAATAAGTGGCTTTATTTGCAGGTTTTCTGTGTTATCCACCTAAAATTGTTTTGACAAAGTCATAAGATGGAAAAATTGAGATAAAATTGCAAGCTAAATAACTACTAAATTCTTTTGAACCCAATCATTTATCATCGAACCCGTCTAATAATCAGAAGCTTGGGTAATGAGGAACCACGTTCATACAAAAATCTCTATAAGTAACTGTCAGTGGATTACAGATTACCATAGTATACAACCGCATTACTAACCGCTGAAAGAATTATCAGATTTAGAGCTCAATAATTCACGGTTAACACTAAACTTTGACCAAATGATACAAGCAGTCGATCTGAATGAACTATTGTTCCTGTTCGTGAATAGAATTAGTGCACTTTTGCAAAATAAAATGCATCATATCTACATCCTTGCATGTGTCTAAACGTCAATGTGTCCGAGAAAATGTACCGTGTTGTCTTTTACTTCCGAGTAAATATATAAACGTGAACTATTTTGTGTCAGTCAGCGAAGACTTAGAGAGTAAAACATTGAGTGAATGTAATCTGAGGTCACTGAATTAATAATACCTACCCAATACGTATACAATACCTATGTATAAATGGTTACCTTGAAAAACACGCCAATTACACAAAGCCCCTCGGAGTCTCTAGTGGCCTCTTCAATTGAGTTGTGTTTCTCATTCATGAAAACCAAATGCAATTCACCACCAAAACTGCGGCCATCAATTTGGTGCTCAGACCCCCAGCCGTCTTCACAACCCCAATGACAGTGGAACTGCTGAAGGTAATATCTTCCCTTCAATGGACCGCCTTCAACAAACGAAGCTAAAAAGCAAATGGTTGCAAAAATGAGACAATTAACGCTTAACGCCAAGGTTAATGTAGAATTAACTTTAAAAGGTCAAATGGCCATTAACAAAGCTAACAGTAGACACCAATGCTGATAACAAAAAATAGTGCAACCATCAGTAACTGTGTAAGATGAAGTGACGGTCAAGTGATTACTTCCATTGTATTAATCTTACCCTTTTTATTTGCAAAGGAGACCTGAAAGTTGTGTTTCTTCCTTGTGAAAAGTTCGGAAACATTTTGTAATGAAACAATTTTAATGGAACCAAGCGATAAATCTTCCACGCAACGGTGCCGGACAATATTTATTGGAGACTGTCTAGCGCCAGCAGCAGCAGAACAGGTCAGGCACCAAGTGTGGGGGCCTACAACTCAAACAAAAAAAGAAAAGCTTACCATTTGTTGATCCATATCCGTAATCTACCTGCTTACACGTAGTAGCCATTTTCAAAGATAAATGATTGAGGTACTCTGTTATCATGAATTTTAAAAGGCTTCTCGTATATATAGAGATTCAAGGACATAATTTGCAGATTAAAACAATTGACACTTTTGGAAATTTACATATCGGAATACGTTTGCTCCGATTAATTCAAATTGTTTTAGACAAATTAATGTCGCACTACGCTTAATCGTGCAAAAAAGTAATTTGCATGAAAAAGTTTTCGCTCGGCATAGTGTAAAGTGCAAAGACATTAGGAATTTGAGCGTTAAAAAAAAACAGAAAACAGCCAGAAATAAGATTGCTTCACACTAGATTTACCAAAAACGGGTTTCTAAATTATTTATAAGATTAATTTTTAATATGAGGTATTGGTGAAAATCGAGTGTTAACGTTCATTCGGGCGACAAAATTACATAGAATACTTACCAGACTCATTAAAAAGATTATTAAACTATTTAAACATGTTTGGATCATTCTTACCTTTAGCTCATATATCATGTTTCCAAACGTACGACAAATCTGTTTTATAAATGTCAACAACACATGCAGGTTCCATCTCAACTGCAGTATTGGTTTCTGCAATAAGATGAATAGAAGGAAAAAGTACACGTATTATTTATAGTCACAATCAAATGGATGTCTTTGTTTTGTCGCTGTCACTATTTTTAAAATTATTACTTAGCGTAATGGTTTCCCAGAATTCCGCTGATGAAGAAATAACGGATTTAGTGACTGCTTTTTTATGTGAAGAAAATTGTCTGTCCTACAGTTAAACAAATGACGTTTTCCATTTTTGTTGTTGTCCAAATAACACAAGTTCTGTTATTTACTTTGTTAAAAAAGCAAACATGTTATCTTGATTAAGTTTCGCTTTAGTTGCTAGGCTTCAAATAAAAGTTAACGCATACGCATTCAAAACCGCAAAAAAAGAAAATTTGCTGTAAAGTAATCAGTATTAATTATAAATTCCAAATATTCTTGTTACAAATCAACTAGCGTATTTCATCCTGACGCATTTTCGAAAATATAGGTACAGGTTGATAGATATCTCAGTGACACCTTCATATAAGCCCATCTGTTTAAGCAGGGTTACCGAAAATAATACTTCATTTTTTGCTAATTCGAATGATTACTCTGATCGCCCTGAGTATAAAATAACTATTTTAAATTTAATTATAAGATATTTAGTCTGTTATTTTAAATTTATGTCTGTTCAAGTTTTCAATTGGGTCTGTAAGTTCAACTTTTACCCTTAACTCATTCGGACGAGTAGTCTACGTCAACCAATTTCGTGCAGTGGAGTCCAGATTCCATTTCCATGCAGACACTTTTAAGAAAGTCAAAGTTTGGGGCTTGTGCAAATTGCCCTTAAAGTCAATGAATTGATTTTTAATGTTACACCTCACTTATCAAATTTCTTTTCCAAACCTTGGATTCTTTGCATTGCCGCGAACTTGCTTTCTTCTATAGGCTGATTAATTTTACCACGCAAAGTAAGGTCAGACCAGTTAATAAAAATCTGTGTCAATCTCATTTTGTCATCTTATTAGCCTACGTTTTTATCAAATTCCTCGAGAAAACGTAAAATGGCCTTAGTAATTGCTACAGTAATCCTTAGTTTATTTAAGTCAATTCCAGGAAATTAACGGCATATCCCTGGGTTTGGGTTGGAGACTGCTGCCCATAATGAATTCCACAAACTCGCCTTTTAGGCTCAAATAATGTTCCACTGTTTTTATTGGATCTAAGCAATGGAGCATCAATGTTCTTCTATGTGTCCTGTAGACAATAGAATGAAGGTCGCAGACCATCTGACGACACATAACTGTGAAGAATGACCAGAAATACCCACATAACCTATGCATCTTGGTTAGCATGGGTGTGGCTTAGCGGTAGATGCAAATATTTGCATTAAAAAAAACTACTTTTATCAAACACATTAATAACCTTGAATGGGACGTGTTACACTTCAACCTGTCTACTTAAATTAGTTAAGTACCGCTCTACAGTTATTGCTAATTACCCGACGCCTACAAAACAGAGGGTAACTAGAATTGACACGGTTCCAATACGGCGCATTCAACATGAGAATCCAAGCCGTACGACGTCATAATATGAACTATTTAATCGTACACCAAATGTACGAGTTTTCCGACAATTTCCATTCAATTCTTAATTCCTAGTGTTTAAGTCATATTTATATCTACATTTTTATTAATATCCACTGGAAGCAAGCGGATAACATTTTCTAGAAATCTCTAGTGTACAACTGTTGACATAACTTAGCTTTACCCAACCCCTTAGTAGAGTGCCAAATCGTAGGCTTCTTCCACAGTCCCTTTAAAAGTATTGATTTTTGAAGCAAGCAATGTATAATTTTTGAAACAATTCGATAATAAACACCAGTGGCATAATTAGACTCGATGCTAAAAAGTGAGAGAGTAAAATACAACAGAGAAGAGACGAAATGTGACTAAACTACGACGGTTCGCGAATTCGGGCAAGATCATCAGTCGAAGTAGTAGCCCCAGTGCGCCATTGTGTTTGTAAATGGACGGTGAATGTAATCTGGTGATTTCAAGTAATCCCTGATCGCCGGAATACTCTGAAAAACGTGAAAATTAAAATAAGAATAAGAGAAGATGCTGGGGATCGCTGGTTTCGTCCTTATTATTATTTACACTAATCCCCTAACCACCCACGGCATCCTACTGACAACTACATCTGTGTTGATCCGCTTGATTAAAGCTCCCTGCATGTACTCTGGTCCTGTCTAGCGTCGGACAAGAGATCTGGTACCGTTTATGTGAGTGAATTTTTTCTTGATTACGGAAAAACGCAAAAGAAGTGTTAATTGCTCTCTAAATCTGCATTACGATGATCGAAATTTCAAAAAACGATCGAATAGTGAATTTAGTCAAGCCACTTCACGTTAAAATTACAAATTTGTTATATGGTTAAGGGTAAGATTTTAAAAGCCATACACCTTCTATTTTACGCTTTTGTTGGCATGACACGTTTTAAACTAATCAAGCCTCTTCACTTTTCTTTCACATCAGTTAAGCAAAAAATCAACAAAATCAATCATGTGTGATGCTTATACAGCGGTGAAGTCAGAGGCTCACAATAAGGCAGTGTGTATCGTAAATCTAAAGTCGTCTGCAGAAATAGAACGCGTGCCATGCATTCTACCCTTCAGTATATAACTATGCTACTAATTATATGTAAGTACGAAGAAAATTCCCAATTGGAAGAAGAGGGAGCTTTCACAAATAGGGCCACCACAAACGCATCACACTTGCTACGGCCTCTGGCTTGGACCTTGTGCTATCAAACCACCATTTAAGTGGACTTTTTGCGCAACTTTTTAGGAGTTCAAATTAGAAAAATGTCAGCAACTAACGGGAAGTGCCGATGCAATTTTAGAACAAAAAAGTGGGTTTCGTCCTAAAAAACACCGCAGGCACTAATGAATGCAAGGCGTGGCTCATTCATTTAGCTAGTGGTGCAGTACTTGTGACGGTTACACCTAAATTTTACTTTAAGTCATCTTAGGGAATGGAAGTTTTGCGAAATAACTTGTGAAAATAAGTAGTGAGTAGCGATAGTAACATTTTTTACCTCGAAGCGTTTGATATACGACTTTAGATTACCATAGTTGTCAAGGCATCCAGGCGCATACGTTGACAAAACAATCAGAAGATCGTAGATGTTGAAATCTGGATAATTGACCTAAAATTGGGAAAGGGGAAACTCAATGGTCATTGGCTCCCATTTCGTTTAAACAAACTACTTTCCATTGTCAAACTCCCCAATAAATAGAGGTTTATTGACTTGTGCATGGTTTCCTAGATAAGCTCTTATAATTTACTTGTTTTTTTAGCCACGTGAAATAGGATCAATGCAATATGTTAATTGAAAATAAGTTGTTTAAACGAATACCCCATTGGGTACATAATAGCACTGTGCGGTCCAATTACGAAGTCGGTACTTTTAGCAAATATTCTGCACTGAGACAAATGCACAAGTGTTCCTGACTGGATTTTCACCGATTCCAAAACTTTGGCAAACCAATGCGACCCCAAAAATCAGGGTTCACAATAAATGTCGATTATCGAAAGTAGAAAATCTTTTTTTCACAAAGAAAGTGCATTATTAAAGCATTGATATTCCGACGTATTCACGGGAAACTGTACACTGTAAAGACTGACACCTGGAACTATGGTAGTAAACGTTTTGCCTAAATGAGAGCTTTGGGTTTAAAGAGTCACACTAAAAAGTCACCCTCTAGACAAGTCGAGTAGATGGGTAGGAACACCAACTTTCATTTGATATTACTTATTCAGGCACGTGGGTATAAGTAGTAAATATTTTTTTTATTTTCTAGCATCGCAAAATCACTGCAAAACTGTGAACAAGTGCAAAATATAAAATCTTGTCATCTGCGAGAAAACATTTTTAAAGGAACAAAATTGTTTTTAAGAAGGCTAAGAGGAAGCAGATTTTGCTCATGCAATTTTGTTTAAATTGACGAAAAAGGGCGGTTCTCGTCGAGCTCCTCCCAGAACCTCTCAGTCTGCTCGAGTCACCTTGTAAGAGGCACTTAGCAGAAGGTACAGAACGCCCACAACTTCTCAGCAGTTCTGATGTTTCACGGGAAGTGTCCCACCTAATTGAGTGGTCACACATAGTCGGACAGACGACGCAATGTCTACTTCACGTTTCGGACCTAACTAACACAGTGAAATCTTTGCCCTACCCAGAAATAATTAGCTAATTAAGGAATCAGCGTCTCTTAACAACTACACGACTTAAAAAGGATTTGGAATTTGTGGGGAATCGTCCATTAATTCGGCAGTCACAGTCCCCGACTCACACAATCAATCATAGATGTGTGCATGCCTCTCCTGTCTCACAAACTGCTAACCATTCATCTAAATTCTGCTAGTGGACACCTTTATACACGACCCCGAACACACACACGACATCGGCAAAACTAGGTTGAGCTATCCCATGCCTTTGCTTCCTTTTTTTTAACATATTGGCCACCTAAAGTTACTTTCAAGACAATCTACATTACAAAATATGTGCTGAACTGAAACAACTGGACGCAATGATGAAAGTTAAACAAGACCGTCGAAGTGAATAACCAACTGAGAAAAGGGTTTGGTTCACCAGTTTCAGACGTGTTTCGCAGCTTGCAGAATTTGGTGTTGTTTTGAGTAGTTTATTTTGCTTTGCTAAAGGCATGAGAAGAATAACTGCCATCAGAAGGCTAGTTCTTCATTAGCATTTTTGAATCATACCGATTTCAGTCAGCTGATGTTGTCCCAAAGTAGTTTCCCAAAAATTTCAATTGCTCCTTATTAAGAGCGTTCACATTTCAGCTCAGTCATTTGTTGTCCCGAAAGTGCAGTAATTAAGTCAACGAGTCTGTCATGAATGCATTAAGGAATAATAGCAATTTGCTTACCTTTTCTCCAGAGAAGAACTTGCGTTTTCCAAGGTAATCAGACAGGCGCTTGATATCTGCTGGCAGGTTTTCCAAATACTTTATTTTGTTTACTTCCTACAATTTGAAAGAACACCTTATTAACTCAAAATAAACAATTTATAATACTCTGGATTTGCTTACGTAATCTGGGCCGAAGGTGAGACGGTAAAAGGCGTTTCGGATATCCATGGCAGCCTGGTGAACCATCAGAAGAGTCGCACGCTCTTTTGCACTTGCTGGAACTTTTAGAAAAATAAGTTGGCAGTTACATGTAAGCCAGACACAATCAGAAATATCAATCACATTTTATCTAGCCCAATCTGAAATGAAATGTCAGGAATACAATTTAATATAAGGTTATTGAATAATTTCTTTAATATTTAACTAGGGTTTTAATTCAAAGAATATGCAGTTCATTTGATCAGATTAGAAATATTGACGTCATGGGATTAACTCCGAATTCTAAAACAATACTTGCAGTCGGAAATGTTTTTTCCGTCGTTAACAATAAACAACAGATTTATCAACGCACTTAAACTGCAATGTTTCATAGTGAATTATTGCACCTGTAGTTCAATTTACAGGAATAATCTTTGAACGCAAATCTAATGGCCAAAATTAGGATATTAATGCAAATAAAAAAGAAAGCACACTTACGCATTTTATGCTCGTCTGCAATATATACCATAATTGCAGTTGATTGAGTCAGCCTAAATGAACCGCTAATAAAGTAAGGCAGCTGAAAAAGTTAAAAGCAACATTTCGATACATTCGGAAAGTCAAGGCCAAGTTTGTCCATTTTTGAAAGCCATTGTTCCCTTGAGAAGTCAGGAGCTAGAATTGTGTTTAAAAATATAACTGGAAGTGTATTTACCTGGGCCTGCAACGTAAAATTCTTGATCAAACTTTTCACCACAGTAATGTAACAGGAGACGAATTTGCTGGCCCAGCTAAAAACATTATAAAATATAATATAAAAAACAGTACGCTAAACAGTGTGGATTGCTTGAAGCACACGAAGCCACAGCAATCTGCAATAAACAATTTCGTGATAAGAGTTTCAAATAAAATATTAGAGAGATTCATCCGTATTTTAACAGTAAAAATGAAAATATCTTAAGTTAAATTAACTTTAAAAAGTATATGGAAAATTGTCCTTTAAAAAAAACTTTTATTGAAATTGACAGTGCATAAAATAATATATCACTGCCAATGTAGGCCAACCATAAGTGCAATTTATTTTCATTTAACTGATTTCCATTCGTGAAGTCAAAAAAGTAACGTTACCCGTAAATATAGGTGCATTATGGCTACACTATATACTGACATAAAATAGCAAAAAATTACTAACCCCACGACTCTTCCAGTAGCCTAACACAGGTGACATTTTTGAGACGCGAATTTAGGCATCGCCAGTTAAATACGCACTTGCTCAAGGTCGAAAAGGGGTTTTTAAACTGTTAGTTGACTGAATAAGTTATCCAAAATGATTCCTCTTAATAATAATGTTTTTCTTGTAGAAAATTTAACAAAATTGCGCGTAAATATTAGAATGTGCTTCAGTGGTTAAGGAATACCCTATAATTCAATGGTACAAATACTGGAAATACATTTTAATAAAATCACAATTAATATCAGGAATTTGTTTAATACCTGAGTGCAAGTTGAATCAGGACTTTTGACTGCCTGTTTCCAATTAAAAACTTTAAAAATATATAATGCGTTAAAGAACCTACCTGACATTTCGTAAAGAATTTATATATCTGCACCTTCTAAAATGATCCTTTATGATCAAATTAATTTTAGAATTTTTCGACTTGTTGTGTTTTTTTTTTCATTTGTGGACATTATTAAAAACTACTATTGTTACTTTTGTTGGTTTTCTCTAAAATTAATAACTTCGAAATAAGAATATTTTCGACATTTAATATTCACAAAATAGTTCAATTTCTTATTGAGTATTTTGTACTTACGAAAACCTTGATTTGATTAGCTAATTAATGTTTTTAGATTTATAGCCTGCATGAGTAAAGCATCTGCTCTAGAAAGAGTTACTTGTTAGCTGATTTCAATTAAGATATTCTGTCGCTGTTGCTGTTTATTTTCGGATTAAACTTTCTTTTACCCTGGAACTTGCCTTCATTTAAGCGTAAACAAAACTAATTAACTACAACTGATTTAACTACGGTCTTTTATTTAAAAAAACTTAAGCTTCAAAACCGAATTTTACACATTTTTCATTTTTGGAACTGTTACACTTAATATAGCATTAAGATATAATAACCTGTCTTGACTAGTTCTCATCACATTATCAAGGATCTTCACATTTCTTTTTCATAGCGTTTTCTTTATAAATATAATGCTTTTTTCATATTAATATTCATGAACTTACATTCTCTGGCCAGATGCTTAATTTTTCATTTTCCCGGAATTTTAACTTAAATTTATTTAAGGTCTGCGTCAAAAAATTATATCAATGAACTTCCCCTCGCAGAAGGTATTTTTAACATATAAGAACTCTGTGCAACTTCCACAGTAAACACAGCTTAATTTTCATAGATTCACCTTGATTTAATGAAAAATCTAAATCCACAAAACCTCTTCTGCCGTAGTCGAAATCGCGAATGTAAGGCCATATAAAAAAAAATAAAACACTAATAATTAAATACGTCACATATAATTTAATTCATAAAACATCTATAAATAAAACCTGTATTTTGGCCAAATTTTTGTAGTAGTTTACATAATTGCAATTTAACAGCACTTACTCTTTGGTGTAGCCCTCTTGATTCGACAATGAAAATTGACGTTTTGTGTGCAGTATTATTGGTTTTTGGTGTTTTTTAGTAGGCCATCAAAAGCCGTCAAAAATTTTAAGATCGTCCTTGGGGATCGCGCCAATTATATTAGATATGACTGGTTCTTCAGCGTTGGGGGAACAGATGCTTTGTTTTGTTATCGTTGACTAATCTCGATGGTGATAAAAGACAACCCCTGAGAGAAATTTGCCTGTTTTTCTAACTGGAATATTGTGTCACGAAAATAATAAAGACGAGGTGAGTTACGGAAAAAAACTAACTATCGCGAAACGCAATCAAAACTGCACCATTGAATTAAACGCATTTAATTGCGTTCTATATGGCCGCCAAAAGTATGTTACGACTGTGAAAATTCACAGCCAGATTGTACCTGAAAACAGATGATGCCAGAGCTTTGAGATTATTTTAATATGCAGGAAGGGGCAACATTAGAAGCAGCCGCCCAGTGAGCAGTACCCTAGAGGACCCAAAGAGGCACGCAGTTCCGTATTAATAGATTTGTCAGGAATTCGCGTTGGACCATCAACGTTTCCGTGACTATATGCGGCTTGAGAATTGCAGGGCTTCTAACTTTTTCTAGAACACAAAGGCCAAAATTCGTAAATAGATTAAATTTTGGACGGAATATCCGTAATAAAGACATAATTGCTATCGACGTCTTAAGAAAACTGAACTAACAGCATTTTTAAGTTTAAGTAATGGGAATTGTAGAATTGATTAATAGGAGATAATATACCCAAGGCATTAGCAACATCAATTATTTTTGGGAGTTAACTTGTCCACTCAAATACCAGTCTTATAATGCTATCAAATAATGATAATTGAATAAAAAACTTGTTATTGGAAGCCAGCACTATCGGGTCTGTAGGATTAAGTCTTTCGGTTTTTACCACCAAAAACATCCGAGATATACCTATCTAATGGAGTCAGTAGAGAAAGGGTTCTGACAGGTTTTAGTTTGCAAAATTTAGATTTTGTGACCTAAACTTAAGTTAGCTTTGCGTTTAGAGCATGTATATTCCTTAAATTTGCATTAACTTCGTGATGTGCACATTTTAATCAGGTTTTTAAGATATCGATAATTGCTCAGCTTCTTTTCCACGTACTCTTAGAAAGCAGAACAATCACAGGAACCAAAGTTTTCGAAAGCTAATTATGCGCATTCAATGAGTCTTAGCAATCTGCTGTGAAATCAATCTCGGTCTAAATCATAATTTGCATTTCAATTGTTACAAGGACTATTTTGATGTCACATATACATCGTCTTACGTATAGGACATATCTACGTCAATTGTAAACCACGCAGAACAACCTAAAATATCACAGGAGAAATGGGCTTAATTAATATTTAAGTAGTCCCAAAATCATAAAATTCCCTTTGTTTGTAAAGTTGAATGACCTTCAATAGTAATTGATACCAGCTGTTTGTGGCGGGAAAACAAACGTCAGTTTTTGCGTCCTGTTTTCGGAGTCATGAAGCCGATGTTAGCATACTGGGATATTAGAGGAGTAAGTTATTCCTTAAACCCTTTAAAGCTAAATAAGGGGTGTAGGTATGGTGTGATGATGCAATTCTATGAGCGAGATCTGTTGAGTACCTCATCAACACTTCAATGTTATAAATGCCTCCTTTTAAATATTTGTAATAAAGCATTTAAAACGTCGTTGTGCCAGGCATATAAAGCATACAAGTCACGGAACTTATAGGTATGTAAGGACTATATGTTTAACCTTTACTCCAGTTTACTTTGCCGCGGTTAATTGTAATTGAAGAAAGAAATTGACGACAGATTCATTCGAATGATGAGTCTTTTAAGGAAGGCTAAGATTAGCTCAAAAATTTTATGATCATTATCGCTAGTCTTTTGTTTGCACATTTTAGTTTTCTGAGTCATCTCGACTGCTTATGCGCTATGTTGGAGAGGATTTTGAAGACAAACGATACAAAGCCGGTCCTGGTGAGTAGTTCACTTTGACTGATCGTTGTTCAGCCCCCACATTTGACCTCAGTGACTGGTTTTCAGTCAAATTTTCTCTAGGACTTGATTTTCCTAATGTAAGTTTCCAATTGTAACAAGCACTATTTGTCAAGCTTCCGTATTTCATTGACGGGGACGTTAAACTGACCCAATCTAGTGCTATCCTGGAGTACATTGCTGATAAACATGGAATGGGTAAGTGACTTGTTATTGCTATTTCGAGTGAAGCCAACAGCCAGCTTAGTACTGGCATAAATGTCGAAGGACGTATAACGGTAGCTCATGTGGGTTATTTTATTTTGACAAAAACTCAAGTCGATGTGTTAAGTGTACGCAAAAAAACAACATTTATAAATATACGGTGATTTGGTGAGTGGCTGTAGTGATATTTGATTCAATTATGTTTTTTGTGTGCTAGAACAAATCGATTGGTAGTGTGATTGTTGAAATTGAGGAGTGTTTGCTATTTGACATCACGAGAATATGAAGTTGGAGACGATTTACCTTACACCCGTAAATGCAAAGACTGCATCCACAAAGACGCCATTTTGCTTGTCTTGCAGTTCCAAGTTGCTCCAAGAAACGTGCAATCTTGCATATGCTTCAATGTGAGATTATGGATTTGCGTTCCAGCTTTATCGCAGTGTGTTACAGCCCGGATTTCGTAAGTGTTTACTGAACCGTAAAATTTGGTGTATATTTAAATTACTTCTGTTGTTTTCGATAGGGTGGTCTTAACCCCTATAGTTCAGTAGTGTTCGTTCGTATTATGGACAAAAGTTTAAAAGAAGTTCCCAAGTAGGAGTTGTGTGGGCCAAATTGTCATGTGATTTTACTATAGTAACTTCTAGACAAATGCAGGATTCTAGCTCTTTATAGCACGAGAGCTGAACTATATTACATAAATGAGCCACAGTGTACGACATCTGAATGTTGAACGGTAAATGTACACAGAAGTTAAAATTTTGATATGGTCACTTGAATTGTGCTTTGTTATACAGGAGAAGTTGAAACCTGGGTTCCTGGAGAAACTGCCTCAGAAACTAGAAGGCTTTGAGAAATACTTAGGCGAGAAGCATTGGCTGACTGGCGACAAGGTAACAGTCATTAAACTATCCCTTTGTGTGTTTTTAAGAACTGCTGAGTTGCAGCAGCTGCAGCGTCAGCATAAAAAATCGGGATTGTGGCAGGCGGTAAATGTGCATGCGCGGTAATAAGGCTTTCTTTCCTATATGGAAAAGATCGTGCCGTTTCCGAAATTTGCCGGCGACGAGTTTGCTAAATGATTTATAAGCTAAAGAATTCGAAGTGCATGTTAGATAAAGTGGTTTGTGAGGAGGTTGCAGGCTATCTAGTCGCATTGCCATCAACTTTAATGAGTTTCTGACTAGTGGTATAGTCATTAACAACCATGGAAGCACTAAATGATGCCAAAATGCAACAGCGTTGAAGAGTAGTCAGTTTTTGACTTATTTGCGTCTATAGTGTTTTTGGTATGAAGAGATTGTGTGATGATTGGTTTCTTTTGTAGATTAATTACCCAGATTTCAATCTGTGTGAACTATTGATGCAACTGGTCAAATTCGAGCCCAATTGTCTGAAGAACTACCCGAAGCTGAAAGCTTACGTTGAGCGCTTTGAGGTAAATGTTGGAGGTTGATTGGGCACAGAGGTAGAGGGGAGGGTGTTAGTGTGATGAGCGGTGTTTGTCAGTGCACAGTTGAGATGGTGTATGTCGGTGGAAGAATCAGTTGGGACATGTTCGATTGTATTTGGAGCTGCGGTGTTGTGAACGACGAGGGCACAATGGTAGGCAGTTGGTGGTGTGATAGAACACGTGTAACCTCATCTAACTGCCTACCGGGGTTAGTGGTAGTCTGCATTGGGTGTTCATCATTTATGGCCGCTGATCGCCTCGCATGCTTTGGACTGGTGGTTCTAAGTGTCGAAGCGCACGTCACGTTACTCCATGTGTAGTTGGTGAGAACGCTATAGTAGCCACTGATCGCATTCTCGAATGTTCCTTGCAACTGCCTTTAATTAAGTTGTGTCTGCATTCCTTTCTGCAACTTAGAACTTGCCAAATCTCAAGGAATATTTGG